TCTTAGCCTTGGGCGAGCGAGCTCACCGGTGAGGGGACCGGCTGCGGAGCCTCTTTGCCTTTCGTCTCTCAAGCGCGGCGCTAAGGAAAGAAGAAAGAGAAAGCGAAGACGAAAATGAATTTAGGGTTTCAGCGGAGCGGCGCGGCGCGGTTTTTGTTCGGGCGAGATGCGTGGACGACCGTCGGATCGGATCCTACGGCACAGAGGCGACGGGCCAGAGGCTGGCCCAGGCGGGCGCGAGCGGGCGAGCCGCTTTCCCGGCCCAGGCCCAGGTTGCGGCCTGGGAGGGAGCCGCGCACGCACAAGGCAGATCGGGCCGCTTTGTTGGTCGGGCCGAAGAAACAGTATTGATTTGAGTCCATTTTTCTTTTTCTTTTTCCAGTAAATTGTTATTTCCTGGGAAATAATTAATGGCTCAAAGAAAATTAGTAAAGAGAATTTCTCTGTGGGTAAAATTCACAAATTATGTTTAAGTTTCCGCTGCAAAGTTTAATGTTGATTATTTTCTAATTAAATTCGAACCAACGGGAGAATTTAATTTGAATAGCAGTTATATTTAGTAAATTATGATTATATTTATCCTCTAATTAAATTGGAGTAGTAGTCCGTTTTGTTTTAGTAAGATTATGATATTATCAGTTTTTGACCAACGTTGATGATGACAATATTATAACGAATTTAAGTTTGAAGTTTAAATCTCTAAAAAATTCACCACGTTGGTGTAAAAATTTCCAGAGAGTAGATAAGGACCAAGAAATGCTCCTGAACAAATAGAATGTATTTTGTTAACATGTTTCCGCTGCAATGATGTTGATTATCTTTCAATTAAATTCGAACCAACGGGAGAATTTAATTTTGAAGAGTAGTCATATGGATTTCAAGTTAATTTATGAGTTTTATGCATTAATTCTATTTTCTGCCCAACGGTGATGTAAAATTGATGCAGAAACATATTATGTGTTTTATTTTAATCGACGAGATCACTCGGCTGCATGCCAACGGGCTGCAATGCTGGGGTATGTGAATGGAAAGGCTTGAGTAAAGCCATTTCAGGACAATTTTTTGTTAGTTCATTAATTTTCTGATTAAATTGGAACCAACGGGAAGATTTAATTGAAAAATGAAGTATAAGTGAATGTTTTAGTCGTCATGACTAAGTTTTGGTATAGACGTATCCCGTAAGGGGAGAAGTTTTGGCATAGTACTTATGCTAGTCAACCCTGCATGGCAAGAGACGTTTTATGATGATTCACATGTTTTGTATCCCGCATAGCGAGAGAAGCTTGGGTACCTCTTATGATGTCCTAGTATTGATCTTGGCATAAAAGAAATGCATCGTCATGGTCAATACTAACTAAAGGATAAGAAAAGATGCAAGCGTGACTTGCAAAAGTACAACTAATGAAAGACCTCGTTGAGTTGTTAAAGTGAAATAAGGAAAGTGTACTCCTAAACGAATCAAGAAATAACTTTGTTTACATGACATAATCATGTGAATGAAGTAAGTTATAAGTGTCTCCTCGTTCATAGGCTTTCTGAATAGTTATCGAAATTATGGCAGTAAAGCTCATGCCATATTTCGAGGGGAAGAGTATTAAGATCAATTAAGAAAGATACTCTTCATTAAAGAGTGAGATAAAGATTAATTAAGATGAAACCGTTGGAGGAGTACAACGGTCACAACAATGATACCCCTAAGTAGAGAAATAGCTAAATTCCTGGATCTTTTAAAGTTTCGACAGAAAGATAGCATAGTCAGCCTCAAAGATGTTAAGGTGGTGCTTAAAGCGCCATATGAGGTTTTAAAAGTTTAAACCCAAAATAAGACATTTGAAGATACACCATTTTTTTAGAAAATATGGGAAGATCTAGAGGAGCATGGTATGAAGAGGTATGTAGAGACCTAAGACTTGAAGAGAAGAGGGACTGCGTGCCAACTCCAGTGACTCAAGAGCAACAAGTTTCTCAATACCTGTTGATGTTGTATGACTTATACAACACATGTTGTTTGCTCTTCGAAGAAGATGAATAATATAAACAAGGATCTTGTTATACAAGAGCCTGTAGAATCAATTGCCTCTTGGCAATGAAGAGCAACAACAACCTCATATGAAAGTGCCAGCAGCTGAGGCCCTAGAAGATCTCGAAGAATTAGTAAACCAGTTTTTTGATGACTATGAAGTCTCTGTTAGTGAGGAAATTCAAATGGATGATGATCTTACCTCATTTGAAGAAGCCATGTGAAGCCTTTACTCATTTAAATGGCAAGAAGCTATGGAAGTTGAAATGAATTCGATGAATACCAATGATGTTTTAGGACTTAGATGAAATTCCTAATAGAGCCAAAACAGTAGGCTGTTAATGGGTCTACAAGACAAAATGTGACTTCAAAGGGAATGTAGAAAGATATAAAGCACGACTTGTGGTAATATGCTTTACGCAAAGAGAATAAAAAGATTACAATGAGAGTTTTCTCTCTAATCTTATGTAAGGATTCTTTTAGAATCATAATGGTGTTAATGGCACATTACAATTTAGAGTTACATCAGATGGATGTAAAGACGGCATTCCTCAACGGGGATTTATATGAAAATGTCTACATGGCATAACCCAAAAGGTTTTTGTCATGGAAGAAAGAACGTATGGGATGTCGCCTGTAGAAATCCATTTATGGATTAAAGTAAGTCTCTAGACAGTAGTATTTGAAGTTGATGAAACAATGAGAATGTTTGGGTTTTAAAGAAAATGAGAAGGACAATAGCGTTTATGCAAAGCTCAAGAATGGAAAATTTACTTTTCACATCCTGTGAATAGATGACACTCTACTCATTAGTAGTGATGTTAATCTGTCATTGAAGAAGTTTTGTCCTCAAGTTTCAATATGAATGATCTTGGTGAAGCGTCGTTGTTTCGAGGAATCGAAATTCACTGAGATAGAAGAAAATAGGGTATTAGGACTATCGTAAAGGCATACTTAGAAAAGATTCTAAAGAAGTAAAGTATGCATACAAGTAAACCTACGCCTGCTCCTATAGTCAAGGGTGATAGTTTTGAGAACTTTAAGTGTTCCAGGAACCGATATAAGATCGATCAAAAGAATATGGTTTCATATGCTTCAGTTGTTGGAAGCTTGATGTGTGTACAAGTACAAGTAAGAACTTACCCTGACGTAGTTTATGTATCCGAGATATTTTGACAGAAGTCCAGCCCAGATATAGATCACTGGAATGGAGTTGAGAATGTCTTACAATTTTGCAAAGTATCATAGGTCTCATGCTGAGTAAGAAAGAACAAGTACTCTCAAATAGTTAAGTGTACAAAAGTTAAGTCTTGACGAGATGTGTAGTGAAATCCACAGCAGTTGCTAACCCTCGCAGTTGGAGTATTATTGTGGAAAAGCTCCAAAGAAACAGTTGTGGTGTCATCAGTGATGCATACCATAGTATAGCTTGTCATAAGGCTTAAGGAACAGGCAAAAGGAGGTTAAGGGAATTTGTACCTGGATTTAACAATGGTAGACAACAACAATAACCATTTAAAGTAAGTTAACTCCTAAGACAACAAGTCAAGTGTGCTGCCAAACACATTGACACTAAGGTATATGTTGTAAAGGAGAAAATCCAGAATTATTTTGAAAGCATTGAGCACATAAGTACCGAGTAAGTACTTGCGGATCCACTTACCAAAGGCTTACCACCCAGTGCGTTCAGAGAACACACAGTCGACATGGGTTTATGGGAAAGTCTATGATTTCTGGATACTAAGGGCCTAGTTGAGTATCTATTTCAAAATAGAGAGGTGCATTGTAGCTGTTAAATCTAATGGCAACTGACCGTGATGATGAGGCACGCTCTATGCACTGATCTGTGATGGAATGGAAAAAAGAAAAAGGAAGTTAAGTTTAAGTCATAAGATGAGATCAAGGGGGAGAATGTTAGTTTGATCTCCACCAATTGGCCCAACAGCCAATTGGGCCCTTGGATCCGTGTCCCGATCGGGGGCGCCCAACCGCTTCATGGTTAGTGTGCCCCCATCGCACAGTACTATAAAAGAGAGGTAGGGGCCGGGACACAAGGACAAGGTTCCCCTGAGCTACCAGGCGCCCTACCGATGATTCCCTAACGCTAACCGATCCAGAGAGAGGGTGCTGCCAGCGATGGGAAGTCGCCACCGACTTCACCGTCGTCTCTACATCGCCCCGTCCTCTGGACTCCACCGCGCCTACGCTGCCACAACACCGGCGTCCACATCGCTGAGGCGCCATGGACGCAACTGCGCTAGGGCGAGGTACCGGAACAAGTTACCCCATCTAAGTCAAGATTATCCCCTGATCTACGTTTTAGAGGTACAATGCTCCATCATATGCCAATTCGCCGGTCAAGCAAAAGTGCAAAACATTGCAAGACAATTCCGCTGGCATCCCTAAGGAAAACATTGCAAGACGAGGAGTCAGGTTGGACACCCTCTGTCCTATGTGCCACAGATTTGATGAAGATATGGGCAACTTATTTCTCAAATGCAAGGAAATGCAGCTATGTTGGCTGCTGCTGGATTTGGATGAGTTGAGGGTAGACTACTGTCGTTATGCTCAATCAGGGATATATTAGAGGAAATTTGGGAGTTTGACAGGGATAAACAGAAAATTATTCTCCTACTATAGTGATGGACTACTCGTGATCAAACTTGAGATGCTTTCCCTCTCCAAAAAAGAATGACTTATAATTTGGAACATAGGGAGTACAAGGCATCAAACTAACCATGGTCAAAGAATTATACAAAGTTTGAGTTTCAAAATTCGTTCATTTTTTTTTGAGCAAAGTTTCAAAATTCGTTCATGCCTCAAGGATCAAGTACGAATGGAAATATTGTTGATGGGCCGGCAGTCATCTCATCTGGGCCATGAGCAAATCAAACGGCCCATTATCTCACGTTCCCAAGTGGCCTCGTCTGCACTGTGGACTGGGGAACCCAACTGATCACTCCGCTCCCATGCATCATCCATGGCGCTGCAGTGCGGCTGCGGCGGCGGCGGCGGCGGAGGAATCGCAGCCAACCTCGCGAAGGCGAAGCTATCCTTCTACGCTGACGGCGAGGACCGCCTCAGCGCCCTTCCCGACGATCTCCTTGTCGACATCCTTCTGCGCCTCGTCACCACCGCCGAGGCCGCGCGGACCAGCGTGCTCGCGCGCCGCTGGCGCAGCCTCTGGGCCCTCCTCCCGGAGCTCCGCTTTCACTTCGGCCCCGATGGCCACCGCATCCGCGAGCTTCTCGATGACCCTGAAGCCGCAGATCTCCGCCGCATCTCCGTCACCACCACCGAAGGCTCCGGTCCCGATTCCGCTTCCGCGTCGGCCTGGCTCCCCACCGCCGCGCGCCGCCTGGCCGGTGGCCTTGTCTACCACAACATGGTTCCCAGGAGCGACGGCGTGGAGGAGGCTGCGGGAAGAGGCGGCGGCATTGAGCTGCCCTGCTTCGAGAAGGCCACCACGATTGAGCTCAGGCTAGGGTTTCTCGGTCTCTTCTTGCCATCCTCAGGCACATTTGCGCGGCTTGCCGAGCTCAGCCTCTACCGCCTCCAACTCCATGGCCCTTGTGAGCTCGGAGAGGTTGTATCTTGGCCTCGGTGCCCACGCTTACAAAAGCTCAGGGTCTGCCAGTCTCTGGGGCTAGACAGTCTCTCCATCCACTCGAAGTCCCTCCTACACATAAGATGGAGAGCATTTGTGGATTACGGCAGCTCACAATTGTTACCCCGACTCTCAAGCAGTTCGAAGTGAGTTTCAGCTTGCTTGATGATGATCCAAGTGTCCACATCTCAGCGCCTCAGCTGGAGTCCCTGGTGTGGCTTGATTTGCATCATCCACGATCTGTCCATCTTGGCAATTTGGAACAACTCGGACTGCTCGGCAGTTATTTTCTTGTGTATGGGCAACACGACAATAGAGAGCCTAATCATCATAGTCTGAGGCTCTTGCAGCGATTTCAGGTCCTAAACACTCTTGTTCTTTGGCTCATTTTTCAGAAGGTGAGTGGAGTTGCGCTATCGGGGAACTTGCTAATTGCTACCAAGCTAAATTGTGACAAAGCTAACTTGGTGTTCAAGAGGTATTTGATTAGGTGTTATGCCTAACTTAGGGTAGTCTGTAGAAATTCAAGAGTCTAAATTAAAACAGCTGCCCTGTTAAATAATGTGGCTTAGGTTTGGGTTCATTTTATAGCACTGAAGTAATTGGTATTATTAAATAATGTGTGCAGCGTTTGAGAATTACTCCAAATGCCATATGTGTGGCTAGAAAATGCTTCAAGGGAACACACATAGCCACATACTACCAATCTGATGCACTAGTACACTAGTTAATAGTTATTCAATGGTTCATGGCATCTTAGTGGTGGCGAGAAAGGGGACATGAACTATTGAGTGGTTAAAACTTGAATAGTTATGGTTTATACTTGCACAATATCTATTCTTATTCACATTTTTGCCGTTGGGAAGTGACTTCACAACTAAAGCATGTTTATAGATGCTTAGCATATATATTTTTTTTTAATCAAGAAAGACTAGATATGCAACTACTTGTTTTGCATAGGTAATATAAAGCAAACCTGTTAGGATATAGGACCGTTTTGTGTGTGATGATCAGTTATTTGAAAATTGGATTCCTCCTTTATCCTGCCTGATCTTTAATTTTTTGGTAACATCTTATGGATCAACAGGACATAGATGGGTTTGTAGATGGGTATGAGTACTTGATGGGAGACATAACAATGCTCCCTCAAGTTACGGCCTTGCACCTGAATGTATTCAACCAAGGTCATGCTTCTGGAGCGAGTTGTTTCCATATGATAAGGATGTGTACTGGTCTACAACGATTGAAATTAAATTTATATGCTGATACAAACTTGAAGGTAAAGCTCTGTTTGTTTACTCAAGAAACTAGGAAGCGATAGAAAGCAATTGAGTTGTTGTAAGGCTCTCTGGAAAAAGTATCGCCTTTAAATTCTATCAATATGTTAGAAACAAATCAGAAATCAATTGAGTTGTATAGTTCTGTTCTTACAAGAATGGCATGGGAGTAGTTAACGCCAAAAGGTTTTATTGATAACGTGTTGTCAGTTGTATAAGTTTTTATGATTTGTGAAAATTTAAAACTGTTTATGCTCCATCACTCCTATGCAAATAACAACCATATTGCTAAAATCAATTGGCTTCCAACAAATTACCATTGTTAATTTTTGTTGTGGAAATCTGTTGATAGAATAGCTACTTATCTAGGCATTTGTGTATTTTGTTACTACTCTCTTTATTTTATTCCTGATTGCATTTGCCAATATATTCGATGGTAATATCATGCTCTTTCTTCTTAGGCACAATCTGTCTGTCCATTTGGCTGTGTTTGTGATCAACCAACAGAGTGGAAGACCGAGAAACTCACTCTGACGCGCCTTGAAGAAGTAGTAATCATCGACATGAAAGGGACTGACCATGAAATTACTCTTTTGAAACGATTCAATTGTGCGGTGAATCTAAAAAGGTTCAGATTAATGTATGGGTCAAGCACTACAAGCAAGGCCAATGAAGTGCATCGGAAGTTGCTAAGCTTTGCTATGCCAGAAACAAACGTAACTCTGGAAGAATTGCAAGGGTAAGGGGTAACAAGCTGTGGTTGCTCGTCGCTCGCACCAGAAGACATGATTCGAAGCATTGGCTTTCTTTTGTGTTTGTCATCATGGAAGTTACCGCTGCTTGTAGCTTGTTGACTCATAATAATCCCCTAGGCATGTTGCACTGTGGAGGATCATCCTTGTTTTTAAAAGCTTGGACTGCTTAAGATCCTTATATGTAATTGTTTGGACTGCTTAAGATCCTTATATATAATTGTTTGTTGAAGGTGAGAGATCGTGCTGCCTGAATGTTTACATAATTGGTTACACATTATCACATATACGCTGTGTATCACATACATGAAGTTGGATTTGGACCGAGGCACGACTTTGAGATATTATTAGTCCCACCGCAAGCCTCACGTCATCTTTTAATTGAAAATGCAAGCATTTTAACCGTAGAAGACTTAAAAAAATCAATATGGAAACGGTAAAAAATGCCCTGAAATTTGATGTTCAGTGAATAAGAAATCAGTTGGACTGAGCCATGAATATGACACCGAGCCCTGAACCTAAATGTCATGAGTTACTTTGCTAGAGATGGAGGAGAGCCGATTGCTGGCCAGCCGTATCAAGAACACTAGGCAGGCAGGCGTGCTGACACCGCACCGGTTACTGCAGGGGCACATGAACAGAGCAATGAACAGAGGAGAAAACAGTAAGACGCATGTTGCGCAGGAGCATAAACAGTGTTGCGCAGGAAAACGAACAAACAGTAAGACGCATGTTGCGCAGGAAAACGAAGCGTGGCTGACGTGAACGGTGAACATTAACATGAAGGCTGACGTCAACGGTGAACATTAACGTGAACAGTAACGGAAGGCTCTCATCATAGACCTAGGATTCCCGGGAGGTTAGAGAGTAGTCATTTCTTTGATGTGAATCTGCTCACTCATGTTTAAGTTCTTGACTTGATACACGTGCTTGTATATTTTAAAAAGATTTATTTTCAGACAATTTAACGACGTTCAACTGACCCAATAAACTTATTTAAACACTTTGTCTCTCCGTCTAGGATTAAACTGATTTCTTTTAACGCCAACCTACTCACTCGGTTCAAGTCCTCGAATTGACATGAGTGCTTGTATTTTTTTGAATTTATTTTAAGATGATTTAATTACATCATTCTTTCGGTGGTAGGCAATGTGCCCATCAAGAGTGAAACGTCTTTGGTAACTTCGTCAATCTTGAGATTTGTCGGTCTAACTCAATTATTCGGAGGTGCTTATAGAAGTAGTGTTGAGTATCATAGTACATATGTAGTCTTCTTCAAGTAGTCTAATCCAGTAAAAAGATAATAATGCACAAAAGAATATGGGATGCTTGTATTATAATAAATCAGAGGTGGACGAGGATAAATCATACCGGGATGTTCCGATGGTATAAGCTTAGGTGATCCATACGATAGAAACTGTGTCTATATATGAAAATTCTCGTGCTGACGATTCCATCCACTAATCTTCCGTATTAGATGTGATCTTGACTAATGATTCCATCCACTTATCTTCCGTATCAGATATGATCTTGACTGTCTAAAATTATTAAGCTAACTAGGGACTCTTGACCATCTCTCTTTCATACTTAGCCAGAGACTTTGGAATAAGCTTTGGCTTTCTGACCTTATGCTTTTTTTTTGGTTGTGACATAGTAAAAACAATGTATTTAGAAAAGCCAAAATATCTTATAATTTGGAACAAAGTGAGTAGCATTTAGCAACAAGCTTTGGGCTCCACAAAATCTGCTTGGTATTTTCGTGGATTACTGATTCCATCAATATTCCAATTGCCAACATGTTCGGCTTGTTCTGTACTTCTGTTGATTTTGCATGAAAATAAAAAAAATCCTTTCTCCTATTAACATCAGAGTCAGGGACGAAACTAAAAGAATTAGATATAGATGGGGCCAAACAAAAGATAGGCTAGACCTGAGCATTTTAGGTTGATATTAAAAAAACATTTTATTTGCCGAAAATCATGTCCACGAGAGCTGCGTCGGATTACAAATATCAAAACAGTGAACTGGGATAAAGTGGCCTTATTGTTCCTAATGCATTATAACAGGTTCAGAAAAGCTAACAACTGTATACCCTTATACAGTAAGTGGTAGCATGGTTTATCATTCTCCTGTCTTGATGAATAATGACATTTCGTTGTTTATATTAATTCAAAAGCATCACGTCTCCTCTGTGTTTGTCTACAACAGTGCTGGTGTAGTCGGTTTTAGATTTTAATTTAACAATAAAGTTCTTCAGGACTCAAGGACAGTGACTTGGACACATTTGCACTTGGAGCTATTCGCCTATTCAGGCATGTGAATAATAACTAGACAAACTTGATCCAATCGACATTAATTGTAAGACGGACGACAGTTGCCAAAATAAAATGTAAACAATGGTTCCAATATTCAATGTAAACGCGAGCATGTTTGTGTATTGTTCTTGATCAATCAAATTCTCAAGCACATTTCTTGAAGTCTGACTGTTTTGACATTCTTTTCCAGTTATAATAGTCTCAGCAGTACTTCTGCTAACTGCCGAGCCCCGTGTAGGCCTTGTTCTGACAAGGTTTGGTCAATTTAAACAGGAAGTCCAAGTGCTTCCAGGCGTGATGGAGGCTCCAAGTTCAAGTTAAGCCCCCTTTGGCATGGCTCATCCAAAACGGCTTCACCGGTGAAGCCAAAGCCGGTAAAGCTAGAAAAACTAGCTTTTTCCGACTTCTAGCTCATTTTAACCCTGGCTTACAAAACGGCTTCACACTACAGTGTCTCGATTTGCGCAAAATAGATGAAGCCGAAGCCGGCATAAGCCGTGCCAAAGAGGCCCTTAGAAAACCACGCTCTGAACCAATTCCAAAAGGAGGATCCTTTTGTGGGTCCCCAAGTGCTTAGAGGCGTGATGGTAACATGGAGATGACAGCGTGTGTATATTTTTTTTTGTTAGAAACGAATGAAAAAGTTGTTGGTGGAGTGTTTTTTTTTATACTCATTAGGTTTTAAAGCATCTCTAGGAGTTTGATATAGTTTATTTGCTAAAATTTTGTTCTTCTTCAACACTATGGTATAATAGCTTCCTAAACGATTTTGCATTGAAAACTCCGAACTATTTCTAACCAACCAAATATTTTTTAATAGTTTATTTGTCTCTTACCGCTTTCTCATCTAGAACCATTTATTTTTTTTAATTTACTCATGCGTCTAATTTGCTCCGATCTCTCGAGAAAAACGACAGATGAGGAATGGATATGGAGTTCTTCTCGACTGCAAAAACTTACGAGTTGGAGAAGATATTTGACAACCTTTTATTTTTATATAAGGAGCTGTTGTGCCAAATTGCCGGAGAACATTTTCTTTTTCTTTTTTATAAAAAATAAAAATAGGGAGTTGTTTTGTAAAACTCCTAGAGATGCTCTTAGAAAGATTGCAAAACTATGTTTTTGAGACTCGGTTTTTTAGATATTGGTGGATATACTCTAACAATGGTACTTGTTCCGACAAGTTTCGGTTAATTTAAACACGAGCAGCTCGAGTAAAAAAAAACTATAAATCCAATCCTTTCGTGGGTCCCCAAATGGCGATCGTTGGAGTGAGTGACCTCACACTGCGCAAAAGTGGGCAAACATCTCTGTCGACAGTCGCCTTCTATATCCAGTTATCCACTCACCTTTTGGATGCATGATGATTACTGAACAGTGAAAGGTAGTGTTAGCTGAATCACCTGTCAAATCTACTAGTAATAAAGAATACTAGTGCTACGGAGTACTCACGCGAGCTTCTTCCAAACTTGCACGTTGATGATGTTCGGTCTAGCAGTACAATGCAACTTTGTGGTGATCTGATCTCATTGCTCAGCTGATTACTAATAACAATATAAGCTGGTAACAAAATCACTACTACTACTCTCTTGTCAGTAGCCTAGTGCTGCTAGTAGTACTGGAACAGAGTGTGCCTCTCCCGGACGGCGAACGCCGGCGAGGAGGGCACGACGTTGAGCATCCACGACAGGCAGGGCCCGTCCGCGTCGACGACGCCGTCGCCACCGTACATCCCGTAGGATGCTGCCGACTTCCCAGCGGCCGGGCCGTAGCATCCCCACTGCTGCTGCTGCTGCGGCGGCGGCGGTCGCGCGTAGCCGCCGCACGCGTACGGCCGGGCCCCGCTGTCCTGCGTCGCCGGCGCTGGCGCCACGGCCGCCGCGGCGCGCCGCTCCTCCTTCTTGTACCGGATCCCGCAGGCGTTGCACAGCGACTGCAATAGAAGCGAGCGAGCAGGGGGACGTGAGACCAGCGCGCGATGCATGCATGGCAATGGCATATTGGCATAATGGCATGGCAGCCAGCAGGACGAACTGTGCCCCACGCGACAAGAAAGAAAAAAGTCGTGTCGACGTGGACACACCTTGGGTCCCCGCGGCCCGTTCCGCCAGAGCGGCGTCGACGTGGTGTCGCAGTTGGCGCACCGCCGGCGCGGCGAGCCTTCTTGGCGGGGCTCCTCCATCAAGACGGCGGCACCGCCACCGCCACCGCCCGCCCGGCGCGTGGACGGCGTGGCGAGCGACAGCGTGCAGTCGACCGGGCCGCCGCAGCCGCCGTCCTCCGCGTGGTAGTAGTAGCACTGCTCCGGCGGCAACCCCATCGGCATGGGGAACAGCAGCGAGAAGGCCGGCGCCGACGCCGCGCACCGGCCGCCACAGCCTCCGGCGTAGCGCGGCCCGCAGGCGCACGGCGCAACCTCCTGCTGCAGCATCGATCCTGGCTGGCTGTGCGGCCTCACAGGCTTGAACGACGACGACGGACCAACACGGCCGCCGGGGCTGGGCTAGTCGCAGTGGTTGGTCGGCGACTCGGCGTGGCGCGGTATATATCGGAATATGAATTGGATCGTAGCGCCCGGGCAGTGTGCAGCAGGCAGCAGCAAGAGGTGATCGAGGGGCTGTCCTGTCGGTTCTTGGAAGCAGCCGGCTGGGAACTCGCAGCCGCCAACAGCTCCGTGTGCGCACGCACACACTACTGCACGGTGCCAGCAGTACGGGGCGGCGATCTCGAGCCGAGCGGGCGGTGGCGTCGGCGGGCGACTGAAAGAAGCTGCAGCCGTTGGCTCGGCTGGCTCTGGTGGTTTTTATATGGACGACGGCGCGTGACGGAGGAGGCGGGCGCTGGATTTGGTGGCGCGACACCGGCACGGGAAGCGATGCGGTGTGGCGCGTGTGCCCGCGCGCATGTCCGCCGGCCTCCACAGGCCACCCAGTGGCCACTGGGCTCTGCAGACTGCAGGTTGCGCAGGCAGGCAGGCAGGCGGCGGTGCGGGCGGTCAAGGGTCAAAAGGGAGGCGAGGGCGGCCACGTGAAACGGGGAGCAGTCTCCCAGGCGTTCGCGCGCGCTCCGACAGTCCGACGGCCGGCTACTGGTGCGGGGATGCAAATAATAACCTAGGGACGCGGGCGCGGCGCGGAGCTGTGATTGGACTGGACTGGAGGTGGTCGGAGCAGTAGAATCGCCCGTCGCCGATCACGAGGGGCACAGTCCGATCTGTTCCTCCTCCTCTGCCCCTGCTGCATCAAGGGCTTGTTTGGTTCAAAGCGTAGACCAAATTTGTCTGGGTGAAGAGGTGCCTGGGTGCTGCTGTGCTCCATTTGGTTGGGATCCTGGATAGCTGACTGGGCCAGGGCAGGGGCTGCCTCAGCCAGGCGACTGAAAAACGAGCGCCTGGGTGCAGCGCCGATGTTGCCTGGGTGAGCTACTGTAGTGCTGTCTTATCGGTGCCTTTTCTCTTTTATTTATATTATTACTTTGTTGTACGTTATATTATTTATATTTCTATTTCCTATTGTTCATCTGTGATAGGTGCAACCGTGATACATTTAGTACATTTTATTCTGTTTATTCCTTAATCATATGAATGAATTATTAGGAAAATAAAATATTAAAAGTATTTATATTTTATATTACTTTATTAAAGGTATTATTTATATTATTTTCGTTTTATAATAATATATATTACTCGAATGATGCTAAAGTTTTATATAGAAGAAAATATATTTTCTTTTTTATTAAACTTCTCAGGCATATTCTATTTCTTTTTTCACAGCCATGTGTAAAAACTTTTTGTATATTTTATATTTTCTAGTCTTTCTCCCCTCGGTTGATCATGTTCACGTTAAAATTAGCATAATGTGTGCAGTATAATTATAATTATCTTTCTTCCTCATACGTTCTTTCCTTATGACATTTTTTAAATAGCTAGGAAATCTATTAACTTTATTTGTAATTGTAATTTCAAATATATTATTAATTGAGAAAATATGGATGCTTTTATTTATTTATTTATTTATTATTATTTATAACCATAACCGTGTAAGTTTAAATATGGTATTATACTTTTTATTAGCTTTTAAATATGTAATGTATCTTTTATTAGCCTTTTCAGGCACAGCTTTCCAACCAAACAGACCTTCTTCAGACTTGCCTGGCCAGGCAAAAATCATCAACTTTCTAGGCAACACTTTTTGCCAGACAAGTCCTCTAGGTCTCCAACCAAACAGGCCCCAACTACATGTGGGTCCATGTGACGACTGACAAACACCGAGCGTATATTCGTGGCTGCTTTGTCCTTCCTCCGTACTTTAAAAAATAAAGTCGTTTTGGACAAGACTTGATCAAACATTGGGAATATAAATCATGAATAACTTTTAAGTTATTGAATTTGAAAATGTAAAAGCCATATAAATACATTTGTCTTGAAAAATACTTTTATAAAAATATACATATATCACTTTTTAATAAATATTTTTATAAAAATAAGGAGTCAAAGTAATACTTTGAAGACCGTGTCGCTGTCCAAAAACAACTTTATTTTTTTTAGTACGGATGGAGTACTATACTATCTCGAAATGAAATGGCAAAGCCCATGCCCGTGCTCGGGAGGCCGAGACCCGAGAGCTTGCTCAATGACAATGAGGGACGAGCAATAGCGAAATGAAATAATGCCGGTGAGTAATCTATCAGGTTTGATATTTTTTTTCTTCGATTAGTTTGGTTATTTCTAGACCTTGAAAACTAATGCATGTGCACAAGCTTTTTTATTAGCCAAATTAAATACTAGTAAGATAATGGGACTTGCTATATTTCAAATGCCTAAAACATAGCATTCCTTATATTTGGTCAAAGTTGATATAGTTTGACTTAGGACAAATACTAGTAAGACAATGAGACCGGTTCTATAAACTTGGTCAAAGTTACTATAGTTTGCGTTAGGACAAAACAGGGTTCCTCATATTACAGGACGGAAGGAGCAGCGTATTGAAGCATTCAAAATTTGTACCCAAATATAAGAGATTCTACTAGGTGGACAAAACAGTTTTGCATTAAATAGTTGCATAAATTTGGTAGATATTATTTTGCTATTTGCTATTTTTTAACCAATCACCATGAATCTTGTGGATGGTAGCATCCAATTAATAAGAAATAAAATGAGCGTACATGTGCCTTTTGTGTTCTCTTCTAATCTGTCTAAAATCTTTAGGATGTAGTATTACAGAACAAAGGATGTGTAGGCTCGATCTTATTATCGCAGGTCTTGACTCTTTATCGATAATAACACACGATGTAGAGCGGATTCACGGGAACCACGCGTCTTTCCAGCTGGTGTGCGAGGGCATGCATTTACAGAGGATACATACATCCCAGTCTCCGAAGGCCCGAACCAAACGTCGTGTCCCTGCTTTCCTTTGCAAAAAACGAAAGGCACAGCACATGCCCCCGCGTCTGGCTACACTGTCGAATAGAGTGCGCAGGTGCTGCTGCACACTTGGGAGTGAACGAATAAAACAACAAAACAAAGAGGCAAAGAGCCCTCTGCCCTCCTGGGCTGCTGATGGGGCTATAAACGGCCCGAAAAGAGAATCAACAGGTTCGCTGGTTGGTTTTAGCCAAAACAACCAATAATATTTTTCTCTTATAATAAATCAATATTAGTCAAGCTTATCAACTCATAAATCAACCCGCGAACAAGCTCAGTATACTTGAAGTGAATCGAACGGAAAGAAGCAAAAGGGGAGGAAGCAGAAGAATCCCATCATCGACCGGTCGGTCAATGCAAGAGCAGGAAGGATGAACTCGAGAAAAGACGTGGTGGATGTGCATAATTATTGCGTTGCGCGCCCTTGCATGCATGCTTACATGGCCACCAGTTGGCCACGCCACGCCATGATGCACGCCCGGCCGGCCCTCCATCCATCGACCCTTCAGAAACGGGAAAAGGCCCCGGTCAAATCGAGAAACAGAGAATGACCATCGAGCCACGCGATTTGTTGGCTCGTGATTGGTTAGTGCTTCGATTGATCACAACTTGTTTGATCAGATTTTATCTTTTGAAAATCTGGCAGGAACTTTGCCGGTCAGGGTATTTTTAGAATGGTAGAAATAATATCATTATGAGCTAGTATATTTGTAACGGTTGTAATGGATATTGTTAACTACTTAATTTTTATTATTGTGAAACTCATTTCGTCCCGTGAAACTTTGATTATCTCTCTTCGTTTATATTGTACCATGGCACCATATTTACTAAGTTTAATTATAGCTTATTCAGTGCCCATAAGACTTCTCACCCTATGAGCTTTATTTATGACGGTTGTAATGGATACTGTTGTTAATTTTCGTGATATTTAACTGATGAAGTTATTGCGTGTATGCCATACATATATAGTTTTAGTTTTAAATGCTGTGTGTAACACCACTGTCTACCATGCGTGATATGATTTATTTATATGCATTCATATTTCATTGTAGGATCAACTCAAATGATTCACTGATCGAAGGTAGAATAAGGGAAGCGGTGCCACCTTCAGTATGATGCCCGTAGAGAAGACGACGATGATCTACTAGGCAAACAAAGAACGAGCACAATAATATATAGGATTCACTGCCAGAATCTGGAATTACCTTGACAACCAAGGATTTTCTTGAGTGCCGAAATCAAACTGCCAAGAAAAGTATAGTTTCCTTGGCTGTGGACAGCGACCTCCCAGGAAACATATATTCCTTAGAGGTTGAAGTAAACCGCCAAGGAATATGGGTATTTCCTTTGGCGGTTTCTAAGAACCTCCAAGGAAATTACTCATTTCCTTGAGTGTTATTGTAAACAGCCAAGGAAACTCATTGAGTGTTGTTCCTAACCGCCAAGAAAAATACCTATTTCCTTGGTGGTTTTTGGCACTCAAGGCAATTCGGGATTGTGGTAGTGATTACTAGAAGAGACAATGATTTTGCCAAATTGGACTTCTTTGGCCAGTATTAGGTGTAATATTTCCCCAATGGTGGTGTAACAATAGTTTAGAAATTGTTTATATATTAATTTATGCGTTCCATTGCATATTATATGAAACCGACATTATTATTCATTAACTTGACATGACTAAATCTGAGATAAAAAAACAAGTGAGTACAGATTTAACATTTTATTTCATGATTATGACATCGGTTGCTCACTTCTATAAGCTCTTATTGATGAGCCCTTGGCGTTGCGGTCATAGCCGCGGTCGAACGGTCCAAGCTGAGAAAAAAAAACATATCAAATTCTATTTTACAAAGTCTGCTTTGACAAGTGTGAATTGGAAAATATTTTATACTTTTCTTGCTAAATAAAATAATAACTCAATAAAGGGATGATACTGATATTTCTTTTCCAAAAATTAAACCAAGACAGATGATATTAGTCACTTACTTCCACATTTGCTTTTAGTGGCA